CAGGTGATTGATATGTGTTTTTTGTCTGCTTATTTTGTTGGTTTTTGTTTTTTGCCCTTTATCTCTGTTCCTCTTCCCCGCTGTTTTTCTTTCCCTCTTTCTTTCTCCCCCTTTTTTTCCCCCAGTCAAGTCTGTCCCGTGTTTAGCAAGTGAAAATAAAATAAAATAAACAATAAAAGCAAAGGTGAATCAAATAGACCAATACGGCAAGGCTGGGGACAGGCCAAAAAAAAAGAAAAAAAAAAAGGACAATGCTGGATTAAAAGATAAAAGTAATTTTGAATCAGCTGTATTTTCATGAGGGTGGAAACTACCAGCACTGTAACGTGCTGTAAAATATTTTGAAGAAACTTCCTCCATCTTACCTCAGGAAGGCTATTAACGATACCATAAGCTTCTTTAATCTTCGGGGCAAGTTTCCCAGGTATTGAAATTGTGCTTGTTGTTGTCTTCTCTGAAAAAAGAAAAGTAATTAAAATATGAGCATGTGCACTTTGGGATTATTAGAATTAGTTTGATGTTCAGTCTGATCTTCAGCAGATCATCTGGTCCATGTCTCCATGTCTTCAATGAGTTGCTGTCATGTGATTGGCTGATTAGATATTTTCATTAATGAGCAACTGGACAGCTGTTGTCCTACTGGGAGACTTCAATGCTCACGTGGGCAACGAGAGAGAGACCTGGAGGAGCGTGACTGGGAGGAACGGCCTCCTGGATCTGAACCCGAGCGGTGTTTTGAGGTTGGACTCTTGTGCAAACCACAGTTTGGTCATAATGAACACCATGTTCAAACATAAGAGTGTCCATAAGTATGGCACCAGGATGCTCTAAGCCGCAGGTCGATGATCGATTTTGTAATCGTATCACCAGACCTAAGGCCATATGTTCAGGACACTCGGACCTGGCACACCTAAACGTATAGTGAGGGTGTGCTGGGAACGTCTAGGAGAGGCCCAGGTCTGCGAGATCTTCAACGCACATCTCTGGCAGAGCTTCAATAGCATTCCAAGGGAGACTGGGGACATTGAGTCCGAATGGACCATGTTCAGCATCTCCACAGCCAAAGCCGCTGCAGTGAGTTGTGGCTGCCATGTTGTTGGTGCCTGTTGTGGTGGTAACCCCCGAACCAAACAGTGGACAACAGAGGTGAAGGGAGCCACTAGGCTGAAGAAGGAGTCCTATCGGGCTTGGTTAGCCTGTGGGACCCCGGAGGCAGCTGACAGGTA